ATGATGTGATGGACCATATTTTTATATACTTATTGATGGCTATACCTAAAATTCTTTATTTGACTTGAAATCTGAAACTGAATTTTGTTTTTTAATAAATGGCTACTAGGAATATACTAGTTACCACAATTTGTGTGTGTGTGTGTGTGTGTGTGTGTGTGTATGTGTTTGTGTTTATGTAAAGGAATATTTTAGGACAATGACACTTTTATTTTATGCCAATTGAATTGTAAAATAATGCTCAAATTTTTTGGCTTTCCCTGTTTTCAGAGTTCTCTTATAGCTATAATAATGGTCTTTAATATTAGCTCACTATTTTCAATATTTTTCAGATACTGTTTCTTAATATAGCATACTATATAACATTCTTGATTTTTTTTTAACTAAATGTCACTGTTAGACTAATTTCTGACAGTACTTGCAGGAAACATTTTTGTTCTTTGAAACAGAAAATTACAATATTAAGAAARTTGGATAGAGAGACCAGCATGCCTGCTTAGGAGCAAATGGTTTAAAGCAAAAATAGACCTTATTCTGTGATTTGAATAAGTTACCTAGAAGAGTACAATTATAATCTAAAAATATTCTAAATTGTTAACAGTTTTTAAATTTGAAATATGTGGAGATATCACTTTGAGTTTTGAACTTCTGATTTCTCTCACGTCATATCTAGCATTATTAAGCCAAGTTACTTTTATTCTCTATGGCTTAAGATGATACAAATATTTTTACGGTGTCATTTATTCTCTACTAACTATAATAGCTAATATCATTATTTATTATATGCTGCATATTTCTAAGAACATAACATGTAGAGTTCATTTAGTCCTTACATAAGCATATGATAATAGTACTGTTTTTTCCCCATTTTTACAGATGAAAAATTAAATAATAAAGAGGTAATTGATTTTTTTCAAGGTCACACAGCTAGTAAGTATTGGATCCTTGATATAAACATAGGCATTCTGACTTCAGGACCCATGCTTTTAACCACTTTGTAATTCAGTGTAAGCCTAAATCAACAGATTCTGAGGCAGAAAAAAATAAGCCTGCATTTTTCACAGGGTTTTAAGAAACAGTCTATTGCAGGTATATTCAGAAAAGATAAATGCAAAAAAATCCTATTGGTAACAGCAAAATGCTAATAAAAAGTAATTAGTAATAGGTGAGTGGATGGTTAGAAGCATATTTAACCATAAAGTGGAGTACTGTGCCAAAAAGGCACAGTATATATAAAACTTCAGAGTGATTTTCAGAATATAAATAAGACAGAATAATATAGGACTGTTCCATATGAATTTCCCACAGACATCTCAGATTTAGTATATCAATAGCACCTCATTGTTATTATTTGTACCAGAACTGTACCCATTTAACCAAAAGTGAAAACTATGAGCAGTGCAAAACTTCTTCACCTTTGGTCCACTATTCAATTGTTTTTCTCAGTACAATAAGTTCTACTTTGAATTTTCTCTTGATTCTTTTCCACACTTCTTACCCCAGGCTGATAATGGCATTTTTCTGCATAAATTTTTCAAAACTATCCCATCTTCCTCACCTTGTTTTAGACTTACACTGCAGACAACAGGGCTGAGAGTATGGATCCTGAAGTCAGAGTGCCCATGTGTATATCATGAATTCAGTACTGACTAGTTGTGTGACTCTTTGGACTACAAATACTCCAGTTTAATTTTGAAATACTTGTGGGTCCTTTACACGATAGTTATACCATTATATGTTAATAACATGCATAATGATAGAGCATTGTTTATATTTAATATTTGTATTTAATATATGTGAATGAGTTATTATTTAAAAATTACACACACACACGTGTGTGTGTGTGTGTGTGTGTGTGTGTATATTTTTTTTTCATTTGTTCCTTCTTATACTGCCTCATGTCTCCATCATCAGAGCAAAAAAGGAAAAATCTACAAGGATTCTTATGGGTTGGGACCACAACCACAGCTGTATTTTATGCCATGAATTCTCTTCAGACCCTTCCCTTTCCTCCTCTATTCTGTATAGAAATTTTTTCTTTTTTTAAAGAGAGACAGAATTTATATATATATATATATATATATATATATATATATATATATATATATATTTATTTTCTAGTTTTCGGCAGACACAACATCTTTGTTTGTATGTGGTGCTGAGGATCGAACCCGGGCTGCACGCATGCCAGGCAAGCGCGTAGGCTTGAGCCACATCCCCAGCCCATCTGTATAGAAATTTAATCAAGAGTTTTCTATAACTTAGTTTAGAACAACTAGATACTAAAAGATTTCTTTAAAAAGCTGTAGTCTGCCTCCCCTAGCCAGACATTTCTCCTTGCTCAGAGGTGACCACTTGTATTGCCTTGAGCTGATGTGTATATGACTTTGTGTCTTTAATTAATACCTTTGCATTGTTCCCTCATGACATTTATTGACTTTGCACCTCCTCTTTATTTTCGTCTTCAAAAAGTTGTGTTCTTGTTGCATCAGATTTTTTGTGTTTTTAAAATTTGTTCTTTTTTAGATAATGCATGACAGTAGAATGTATTTTGACATATTATACATACATGGAGCATAGCTTATTTTAATTAGGATCCCATTCTTAAGGTTTTACATGATGTAAAGTTACACAACATTCCACATCAAGTCGTGTATTTATATATAAGGATAGGAAAGTTATGTCCAATTCATTCTACTGTCTCCTATTCCCATCTTTTACATCAGTTTTTAATGTTTACTTTAAAATTCATAATATATATATATATATATATGCATTTGTTTATTTCAGAGCTGAAATGTGTAGTTAGCTGTAATTATTTCTTTTTCTGTATAATGTTTTTGTAGTTTCTGAAATTAGTAATTATCTTTTTTGGTATAAGATTTTGTATATATACTTTTGTATAAACTCTCTGACATGTCTTAGCTCAATGTTTAAACACATCAGGTGTTCTATTATTCAGTTTTCAAGAAGTTTCTTCCAGAGCCATACTGACTCTTTACTCCCAGCTCCCTTCTTTTCCAGGATTATAGTTTTTCTTATATGTAGTATTCTGTAGTTTTACGATTATGTTCCTAATGTGGCTTATAAGTTTTTATTTCTGGTATTGATGGCATTTTACTCTAGAAGAAATCTGTTTTAGACCTTTACAGAAAATACACTTATGTTTCTCTCCTGAAGCAGTAGTGGGTTGCCCAGATGTGAGAAGTTCATCTTTCTGGGGATCAAACCTGTAGGCAAGTGCTGTACAGCTGAACCATATCTCTTGCCCACACTCTTTATTTCTTAAATAGACTTTCAACCAGTCATCTTCTTTCTTGTCTTTATTTTCAGTCCTTGTTTTCTTTCTTCCAATTTTTAGCTCCCCATTTCTCTTTTCTAAAAGTTTGTAGTTCTACTAATTCCTGTGTTTTCAAGGAGAGAGAAGATATATGAGGTGAATTTGATTGCTTCTCAGCTTTCTCCATTGCCATCTTAGGACTCGTCTCTCTGATCTGATAAGTCAATTTCCTCTTTAATTCTTCTCTCCTGCTTTCATCTTTCATCCCCTTCATGTTCTTAAACTTATGTCCCCATGCCTCGAACATCTTTTTACAATAAATACTACAATTTTTTACAAAAATACTACAATAGTTTTACTGAGGTTTCAGAAGGAAGGAAGGGACATTAAATGAGTATTAAACAATCAACATATAGCCTTATTTTTCACTCACAGGTAAATAGAGTGTCTAGTGACATCTACCTCTGATACTCTGCCTACTAGTCTACATATTTTCCTAGTTTGTCTCTTTTCTTTCTAGACCTAATTTTTTAAAAAATAAAATTTATTGAGGTCAGATTTAATTCTTTTGAATCTTATCTCCTCTCTCAGGATTTGGTATCATATTCCTGGATCACATCTTAGATGATATAGTGCTTGGGCCACAGAAAGTTATATATTTTAATATTCTGGGTGGCATTCCCTTCACTTCTGACTCCAAATTAAAGYATATTGTCAACCATTTATGCTACTTGCTTACCTTGGGAATGTTTGGAAATGCTGGTCATGTTTTTGACTGTGTAGTATTTGGAGCACACTGTTATCAGTTAATGAGCAGGGACACTGGAGGAGCTAAAACCTCTTTAGTGCATGGAATAGTTATGCAGGGTAGTAGTGATCTTGAAAAGCTCTGCTGGAAGTCACAAAGGAAACCTGGCTCTGCTCTGAGGGTAGTACTTCTCAGTCCTTGTCTGTTTTCATTCCCACCGCATAAGTTGGGCTGGAAGGATAGGGTAGAAGTCCTTCTTGGTCCTTATTGCTGCTTCCTGACCCCTGTCTTCCTTACTCTGAAAAAAAATAAAAATAAAAGCAACAAACAGAAAAAAAATTGTACCCCACTACTGAATTTGATACCTACCCATTTTCGTTACAGAGGGAACATCTCACTATGAAAATAATTTAATTTCATGTATTTATATGAAAAGGTTATACAACTAATAATATTTAAAATAAAAAGTTTGATTTCTAATTTAATAAATATGTAGTATATATACACCTACCCCTTCAGCTTATGGGTAAACTTTAATGTAGATTTATTTTTGGACTGTGAGAATTGATGTTAAACTTTGCCTTTCGCCATTAAAAACTGATGGTTTTTAAATGCCTTTCTCCTGTATTAGTGCAACATTTTCTAAGGATTATTTGTTTAAAATGGAAGGGTAAGAATTATCTTAACAGCATGCTGCCTACATTATCACAGTGTGATATTATCAAATATAATCCTGTGCAAGATTTTTAGATGTGTCTAAATATTATATACCTTTTTAAATTGAATTGCAGTTTTTAATAGATCATTTTGTAAAAGTGTATCTAATGCCAGGATATAGCATACCTCATGTACTTATATGTTTTCTCAAATTATGTGTATGATATTTAATATAGTACTTTTTCTTTTCTGTGTTTTAAACGAAGCAAATGACTTGCAGCATTGAATTTACCAGTGTGCCTTTCTGATTTTTAGGTTGTGGAAAATGCCCTTAAAGTGAACCCAGTATTAGGTCCACAAATGTTTCAACCAATTTTACCCAGTGTTTTCAGGGGTATTATAGAAGGGGAGGTAAGATTTTTCTTAATCTTCTAAGTAAGGATAGTAATTGGACTCCATGGTTCTAGTTTTCATTTTTCTCCTTCATTGGAAAATCATTTCTTCCTCACTGATAAATGTAAAAGGAAAGCTTTTCTTATTTAGATCATATTAAATTAAGTGCATTTTCAGGATAAGTTGTGCACCTTTAATTTTTCAAACTTTCCCACATAGACATCTTTTGACATCTCTTTCACTCATGTATATGTGTATTCACGCACAATGATTTGAAGTAGAGTAAAATTTAGTGACTTAATTCTAGTACCTTACTATTGAGAATATGGGGGAGGGGGATAGTGCTAGTATTGGTATGGACTGAGTGTATGAAACTACAGGTATACCATTGATAAATAGTCTTTCTTTTTACTATACCTCAATATATGCATAATATATATAATCCATATAAATACATATAAATATTTTCCAGGTATTATGTATATCTGGTAATTTTGTGTGAACTCAGTCAGTGTTAGCAGTTCATTCTAAAGAGAAGCAATATGAAGGAGAATTTTGTTTTTATATTCCTATTGATGTTACCATATCAGTGATTGTTAATAATTGTACTTATAGCTTAACACAATTTTTCATTTGCTGTATTTTAATTGTACAGAGGTATCCTGTAGTGATGTCCACATATCTTGGAGTTATGGGCCGGGTCCTACTACAAAATACTAGTTTTTTTTCTTCACTTCTTAATGAGATGGCACATAAATTTAATCAGGAGGTAAGAATTTTATGCAAACATTTATCCAAATATAAACTGAAAGTAGTTGATGAAATAATGAGTCTTTATAATAAAGTTCTTTTGAAGCATTTAAATGTTTACATTTCTATCTTTCGAATATTTTTACCTGTTATTTGGGGTAAAAGAAAGAAAAAATTTAGTAAATTGCAATTTAAACTTTTACATTTTGATTTTGCTCAAAATAGGTGATTTTGTTTTGCTTAGCCTTAGAACTTTCAGTTGTTTATGGTTACAGTCTTCTTTTACTGTTAAATAATCTGAAACAGAACTGTTTTGCATATATGTATATATTGTTTGTTTCATTCTTTCAACAAACTTGTTTTAATACCATGGATTGAGAAAGTTTCTGTCCTAAATATTATGAAAAATGCCCTTTTTAGTTAAGATTTATTAAACAATATCTTAACTGAAACCAGCTACCAGGATAAAGATGTAGAGGATAGAGTGCATTTGATATTTATAGCATTGAGACAGTTTATGAAATATTTTGGTTTATCACTGAAACAAATATAACTAATTTCAGGAAATATATTCATAAAGGAAATATAAATTTTACAGTATATATAGTTTTTGCTAGAATTAAACTAATCAAATTAGGAATTCCACCCAGCCTTTGTTGTTATGAATAGATAGTAAAGATTTTTTCATTAGTTTTTTTAATTGGATAGAGATAATATTACATAGTTATATAGTTAAAACAGTTTATATTCTTTTATGATTAATGGAATATGTGTCCATATTGGATAGGATGCATATTGCAGACCTTGAAATCAAATTGGATACTTGCACCTTAATTTTCTCTTCTACTTMGATGTGAAGTTATCACAGAGAGGACTTTAGTGTTACAATTCTTGAGGCTACTAGTTCTTGAAGTATCTGACAGTTGAAAAAATAATTTAAAATTTTTTTTTAATTCACTGTGGCATTTCAGGGTACACTGCACACAGTTTACACTAAAGTATAAATAATGGTATATACTAATATGTGTTTTCTTGATTATTATAAATATTTTGTTGAAGCATTTCTTGGAAAAAATGTAAGAACACTAAAATACAAAAGAATGAGACTATAAGGTTCATTTTACGAGATCAAAGCCATGAGGTAGAGATTCTGGTATTAAATATACATTTTTAAAGGTGCTAAAAGTGGAAAAACATATATAAGGAAACCCTGCCGGGATCCTCTTTAAGTCTACATGATGGTGCACTTGATTACATGTTACTTTGTAAGTCTAATTAATTGTATCAGTGTGGGAGGCGGTTTGGGCTGGGGTTGTGGCTCAGTGCTAGAGCACTTGCCCAGCATGTGTGAGGCACTGGGTTTGATTCTCAGCACCACATATAAATAAATAAATCTTTAAAAACTTAAGTAAAACTTAAAAAAAAAAAAAACTTAAAAAAGACATTTATAATTGCAGGGGCTCACAAATCTGATAAATAGAAACTGAAGCAGGATTTCTATGTTGCATTCTTGAGGCAGAATTTTTTGGGGTTTTTTTTGTAAATAACTAGATTTTTACTCTCAAGGCTTTCAACTAATTGKCTGAAGCCCACCCACATTATCTAGTATGGTCTCTTCATTGTAAGTCACCTCATTGTAAACCTTAATGACATCTACAGAATACCTTTTCAGCAAAAGCTAGTTTAGCCTTGGACCAAATAAATGAGCAACTTAGCCTAGCTGATTCATCACATAAAATTAATTACCACATGATTCTACATTATGTTGTATTCATTTAGAGAATAACTGTCCTAGGATATATTGTTTGTTTTCCTTTGAAATTCTGCAATTTAGCTTACAACCTGCTTGTCCTTTCCTCTGAAAGTAGTAGCAAATCAGTCTGGCAAATTATAGAATGTTAATAATCATCATCCAACTGAATAAGTACCAGTTGATAATTTTGAGAAATATGTGTACTTTTTAGTATACTAGGAAGTATGTATTTATTGGTGATCTATTAAATTATTAAAGTCATCCATTGGCCACATACGGATTTTTAATAAATCTCTTTAGCTCTCAGAATTTATTAGAGTCAATTTCTGGTTTTGCTAAATTATTCCTTTCCAGGTTAAGGCATACCCCAAAATCAGATATTGCAATTCTGTGGTTTGCTATAATTTAACTTTAACTAAGATTTAGGAAGTTTTAGCCTTTAACAGTACTTATCCATGAGTAAATAGAATTTCAAATATTTTGAGATGCTGCCTTTTTTTTTTTTTTTTCTTTTCTTTTTTCAGATGGACCAGCTTTTAGGAAACATGATTGAAATGTGGGTTGATCGAATGGACAACATTACCCAGCCTGAAAGAAGAAAGCTTTCAGCTTTGGCTTTGCTTTCTCTTCTGCCATCTGATAATAGGTAAGAAAATGTTTTCTTAAAATTGTTTTTTTTTTAAAAAAAAAAAACATCAAATGTAAACTCAAATTTTCGGCCGTCAGTAGTGCCTTGTGTTGCTGGGCAGTGTTGTTTTTATGAATGTAGATGAGATAATGATGTGGAAAGTACTGATCTAGAAAGGAGAAAATGGAACACGTTTTTTTGTTCTTGTTTTGGGGTTKTTTTTTTTTTTTTTTTTTTTTTTGTTTTTGAATACTGGGGATTGAAGAGGGTGAGGGGTGGGAGTTTAACCACTGAGCCACATTCCCAGCCATTTTTATTGTTTTATTTTGAGACAGGGTCTGACTAAGTTGCTTGGGGCCTTGCTAAATTGTGTGAGGCTGGCCTGGAACTTGTGATCCCCCTACCTCAGCTTCCTCGKTTCATGGGATTACAGGCATATGCCACCAATATCAGCTGGAACATGTGTTTTTGAGCAATGTGGGCTCTAGGTTAAGTTGGTTATATTTATTTTCCAGTTCATTTCATCCTTGTATGAATTTCCATTTTTTATTAATGACCAGATTTAATTAGTCTTATTTTAGGTCCTCTTTTTACAGAGTTGTATTAAATATCTAGTACTTCAAAGTCACTTTATAAAGCAGTTTATGGTAATTCAAAAGTATTATTAAATGATTTTGTTGGCTTTTAATTTGTAATATCTAGAGAAGTTTGCAAGTTGTTTTTTTTTCTCCTTAAGTAGATGAGGTCATTATGCTATACTTACAGACATGGTAAAAATTCTCAATTGTATAAAGCAAATACAAAGTGTGTTGATTTGGACATATAAATAAGAATATTTATTGTCTTTGTGGTGTTTGTTTTTGTGGTACTAGAGATTGTTTTATTCCCAACCAATATACACAGCCTTTTTTATTTTTTTTATTTTTATTTTTTATTTTTATATATTTTTTTAGTCATACATGACAGTAGAATGCATTTTGATATATAATACATACATGGAATGTACATACATCAATTATATTGTCTATTCTATTCTGCTGCCCTTCCCATCCTCCCTACTTATATTTTATTTTGATACATTGCTTTGCTCAGTTGCTGAGATTGACCTCAAATTTGGCAGTCTTCTGCCTCAAACTCCCAAGTAGCTTGGATTGTGGGCAGGTACCACTGAGCTCAGCTGATTATCTCCTTTTTAACAAAAACAAACAAGTGCTTAAAAATGTTAAGTAACATTTCCAAGGTAAGAGATTTTAACTTTTAACTACCAGTTGATATTGCATCCAAGGTGAGCATACACAAAACAAAAGCTTGCCTCCCTGTGAAATTCAGTGGTCTGATATAATTTTTGGAAACAAATTTAAGTCATCTCTATTTTAACTCATTACTGTTTCTCTTGGAAGGAAAAAATAGCAACTTGAGAATTATTCAGGCTTTTTGTATTGAAATGTTACAGAATTCAGTCCTTGGCAGTAATTAGCGCTCTGTAAAGGTTTGTTAAATAAAGTAATGAATGGAAAAACCCCTAAAATTAATAAAGAGTTTTGTCTAGCATAAATAAAGTATTGAGATTATTAAGAAGAGGCTAGAAATGGCACAGATTAGGAAGTATAAAAATATATCTAATTTGATAAAAGGATGTTTGTTTTACATATTTCATGAGAATACTACTTGAGATATATGTTTATGTGAACACTATTCTTGTTACAACTTCTTTGTCACTTTCTGAGCATGATACCATCTTTTGTTTTTAATTGTTCAGTGAAGCTTCCAGTATTTTTTTTGTTGGAATAATTTCCAAATTTCTCTCCATTGTTTAGGTCTTTTATTTATACATAGAGGGAATAATCTTTTCTTCAGCTAATTTTCATATGAAAGTAATGTATAGATTTTTATTTATATATGCCTTTGTTTAATGTTTTCCAAACAATATTCCTTAAAAGGCATAAATTAAACAAAAGCTAATACTTATAGAAGAGAATGATAATACTCAAACTTTTTTTTAAAAATTGCTCTCTAAAATGGCAAATCATCCTTCAACTTCAAAACACTTTCATATAATCGAGTTCTACGAATTTCAAATGAAAGTGTTCTTTTTGAGACCAACTGCTCTAAGAACTTTTCTGGATTCAAGGAAGTCACCAATATTTAACATAAGGTAGTTGAATAATTCAAAAAGGATTTGCAAAAAAACAGCTGGATGTTTATATCTGATGGCTTGCTTTCAGGAGGAACTGCATCATAATCTTCTGGGTAGCAGATCTACCAAGCTTGCTTAGATTGGATACTCATTTTCCTCTATAATTCTCATATATCTTAAAAATAACATGTATTATCAGCATTTAGAAATGCACTATAATGTAAGGATTTTCAAAGTCATTTTGTATTTATAATTTTGAACACATTAGGTTAGTAGAATCAAAGTAAAAGTTAGTTTCCAAAGAATAGCATTTTGGTATAATTTATAGTTAATTATGAACATGTTTTATGTGAATTTTATATTATTATGACCTTTCCTAAGTGAGTATTTAATATGCTAGAATTTTATTTTCACCTTTTGAAACAGTGAGTCTGTTGTAATATTTTATCTGTAAATCCTTAGTCTCAAGATTTTAGTACTTTTTCTACTGTAAAAATTAGCTMTTATATTTTTGTGTGTCTTTCTCATACACATGGACAGACACACCCAGAAGTCTTAGTAACATTTTATTTGGTAAATTCACCCACTTAAAGTTAATCCAGTTTTTTTAGTATATCTACAGTTGCCCAATCATTGCCACAATTTATTCTTCACTCCAAAAAGAAATCATGTACCCGTTAGCAGTTACTTTTCATTTACTTATTTTCTCCAGCCCCTGGCAACCTCTAATTTACTTTCTGTTTATATAGATATGCCTATTCCGGACATTTCATATGAATGGGATCATATGATAGTAGTCTCTTAAGACTGGCTTCTTTGTCTTAGCATAATGTTTTCAAGGTTTATCCATATTGTAGCATGTATCATTGTTTTCTTTTATTGCTAAGTAATGTTCTGTTGGATAGATATATTACATTTTGTTTAACCATTCATCAAATGATGGACATTTGAGCTGTTTCTGTTTTAGGGCAGGTATTAATAATGCTATATGAACATTTGTACACAAGATTTTTTTTGGGTGTGTGTATGTGTGTATAGATATGTGGTTTTAATTTCTCTTGGGTATTGATGATGATTGTGTTTATAATCTTTTGAAGAACTTCCAGATTGTTTTTCAAAGGGTCATTTTATAGTCCCACTAGCAATCTGTGAAGGTTTAATTTTCTCCATTCTGTGGCCAATACTTATTTTTTATTGTAACCATAGTAGTGGGTATGAAGTAGTATTTCCTTGTCTTAGTTCATTTTCTGTCAGTATAACAAAATACCAAAGAATAGGGATTTCATAATGAATAGAGGTTTGTTTAGCTTAYAGTTTTATAGGCAGAAATTCCAAGATCTGGCACCCCCATCTGTTTGGCCTCTGGTGAGGACCTTGTGGCAGATATCATCACAGTTGTGGAAGCATGTGCCAAAAAGACCACATGATGAGATAAGAAGCCAGAAAGATTCAGGGGCCAGGTTTACTCTTTGTTGTTGTTGTTGTTGTTGTAATTATAGATGGACAGCATGCTTTATTTTGTTTATTTTTATGTGGTACTAAGGATTGAAACCAGTGCCTCACAATTGCTAGGCAAGCATTCTGCCACTGAGCTACAGCCCCACCCCACCCCCAGGTTTACTCTTTTTTATAACAACTTGTTCTCATGGGAATTAACCAGGGTTCCTTAAGAACTATGTTAATCTTTTCCAAGGGCAGCATCCTAATGATCACATTAGATCACACCTCTTTGAAACTTTTACCACTGTTTAGCATCACCCTACGAAGACCAGGTGTCCCACATATGAACCTTTGCGGGAGACACACCATAACCAAACCTTAGCACTCAAGGTGGTAGAAACATCTTTTAAGTGGTTCTGCTATATTATTACTCATCTTTGGGAAGTTTACTTGACACAGAGGCTTTTAATTATTAGTTGATAGATTATTGTTTATTTATTGATTGTTTTGGGTGCCATGAAATCATAAGTATATTCCTCAGTGTTAAAAATCCTACTGTTCTTAAGTTTAAATCTTCCATCTTTTTTCAGCTATGATTTTGAATGAGCATTATATCTGTTTCTTTGACTATACTATGAGGATAATAATAATACATCTTTTATAGGATTTTAATTGGTATTGATAATTCATACTAACAATTCATAGAGGTTACATTCTTTCATGTTTATTGCTTTTATATAATTCATATTAAGAACTCAATGGATTTAGTTGCTTTTATTAATGTTACAGTAGCTATTGGTATTACTATATAATTTTGTACTGTAAGAAGGAAAATGCATGCATTTTCTATTTGTTTTATATATTGATGGATTCTTCCAAAGGAAGCTTGTTTACTTAAAGTAGTACCCAGTGTTCTTTCTGCAGTATTAGACTGGCTCTGCTGCATGGCAGTGTCATTTTCATAGGGACACTGAAATACTCTGTATATGTCCTGGCAAGTAGAATTCCTCTCCTGGATGTAGCAGTTATAAAGATAGGGAATAATCTGTTATTCTGTAGGAGTGGAATTTGTGGTATGTTACAGGTTTCTCTGTTCTGACCGAATTTTTCAGTGAAATCACTTCATGCGCAGACACAGATGCACTGTTTTCCTCCTGTGGTCATTTTGTGTAAAGTTTCCATTTAAGGATTATATTTGTAATGATGCTGTATATTGATACTTGGAAAAGCCAAAAGATTAATACTGCACTCTCAAAAACTATCTTTGCAAATCTAAATTCTAGACATTTTAGGTCCAAGTATTTCAGTTTACCTCTGCCCCATTTTCATGGGTAAAGAAGAGAAGAAAGCAGAGAGGTTTGGTGGCAGAGACAACAAAGGAAATTTTACCTTATTATTCAGAAAGGATTCAAAAGATTTATACCAGTGGTATTAAAGGATG